GTTTTTGTATTAGACCCGTCGTCCATTTATTTGTAAGTCAATGATTAGACACAGAAAAATATAACCCACGTCCTCTCCAATTGGAGATTAGATACAAAAAAATATAACCCACATCCTCTCCATCGCGATATTAAGAGCGGCTTAAAAATAAAATGGCCGACAATTTAGCTGCCATTCGTCGGCTAAATTTGAAAACTCGTAACTGCGTCGAAATCCTTTTTTTACTCTTCAAGCGCAATATCGGGCAGCCAAAGCTTAAAATATAATTTGTAGACTCTTTTTTAATTATAAAGGTATAATCAAAGATTGTCGTGTAATTATTTCTAGTAATTCTGTTTTTAGTGCCTACACAAAAGTGCACATAAAGGAAGGTTTTGAAATTTACGAATTGCTCCGACGAATTTTGATTTCGTAATGGCATAAATTCATTGCTAGTTTACGCATCTAGGAACTGGCACAGATAGAGCGTAACAATCTACGCACATTTTCCTGCTTCCAAACCGTGATCTATCTATGTAAAAAAGATTTACCAAATAAAGATTTGTTACAATTGCTAGGCTTGCCATCGAGTGCAGTGGCGGATATGATGAAAGTTGGAAACACATAGGGAAACCTGGCAGCTAATCGGCAAGATTATCAATTTAACAATTTCTACCACATTTCGCAATTTCCAACAAAACAAACGGTGGTTTTAACCGTAACCCATAAAAACTCGGAATCACATATTCCAAATTTGTGAGTGATTAGTTTAAAGAAATTTTAAAAAATGTATATAAGAAGTATTGTTAGGAAATAGCAATTTTTTTATGGAAAATAGTGATAGATATAACAATAATACGAGAAATATATTTTTGACAGTTTATGTCTTAGAATAATAACGCATAGAATGATAGTTTCATATCAAACGAACTGTCACAAGTGATGCAAAAATCAAATTCAGGAAGGCTAGTTTTAGTAGCAGGTTAATTTTCGGTTTTAGTGAATATTTATATAAAAATACAAGTTGAAACGCGTTACTTCCTTGTGGAATGTGATGTTAGTATCTATTTTATGTTTGTCTGACGTATTTTTACACTCATTTACCGCACATTTCGTCATTTTTAGCTAAAATTCTGGAGCTGTTCGCAGTGCAAGTTGACCTTGAGCACTGAAGGCCCGCCCGCTCGTGTAGGCCCTTTGGGAGCGCTTCAATTTGCCTCACTTAGCGTGTGCGGGCTAGGTTTCTATGCGTTATTATTCTAAGGTTTATGTCTTCAAAAACTCATGAATTCATTTAAGATAGAGTCGACTAGCTGTAATTGATTTTTTCCCGTTCTCAATCGGTTCTATTGCACGGGGCGAGGGACAGGGACACCGGATTTATTTCAGAATTTCTTTTTTATCAAACGAAATTAAAGATATTTGGAAAATGTATATAGTATCGTATTCTATAAGTGTTCTCTTTACTTCAGTTGATATGGAAACATCGATGGTGTATCTAAAATAACTATTAAGAGCTCTCTTGCCAAAAAAGTTTTGATATTGGCTCCGCCCAAATTTGTGAAACAAATATATGCCTGAAGTTCGCATGACATGCGACAGATGTTGAATTTTGCGCATTAAAAGTACCAAATTCGTTTTAGCGGAATAACTCTAAAACTAAAGGGATTTAAAAAAATCCGTAGTGACAGTTGTCGATCAGCATAAATTTAATTAATTATCTAATTTTTGTCCTAATAACCTGTAGCATTTCGAGGATAAATTGAAAAAATGTGAAAATTAGAGGTCATTTCGTGATTTTTATCTATCGAGGAAACTTTATTGTTTTATGTTTCTGATTAATGTCTATGCTTGAATATATCGTGTAGTTACTCATACAATATTTTATTTTTAACTTTAAAGTGGATATACCCTTCTAAAATCAAATCGAAGATTAGGAATTTTTCCTCTGCTCCCTCTTAAATATAGCGGTTTTCTTGTAAAATTTCGAGGAAAGTTTGTGTCTTTTCTACAGTGAAAATTTTTAGAAATCGTGTTTTCACACCGTGCACTAATCATTGTATGTCTTCGATTTTTACTATATATTTTTTCCAAAGTGACTTATTCAACACTTTCACTGTTATGCGGAGGCAACCAAAGCGATTTGAGGTTGTATCAACAAAATTGTTTAATGTATGGCTCTTTCGACCCGACTAGACTTGAACCAGTGTTTTTACCTCAACGAGGCTATAGGTGTTACCGACCGATGCTGGAACAAACTAGTGGAGTAATTTCACAAAAATAATTGAATATCATGGTGGTCTAACATCCTGACATTCAATTTATTTAATTACTATTTGCCAAGTTTTATTGAGATTGGCTACCGGAAAGCGTGCGAAACCTGACTCATCCCCTAGTTTGCCACCCTTAGAGATGGAATATTTCCTTCAACATTTAAATGGGACCAATACTGAGGTAGCCTCTTTCCTATCAAAAAAGAATCGTCGAAATCGGTTCACAAATGGAGTAATCGAGTAACATACACACAAAAAAAAACAGTCGAATGGAAAAATAGATGAATCATTGAATACATAATAATAAAAAATTTTCTCTTGTTCTGTATGCATGTATATAGTAACTTACCCTGGGCGGTGTATAGTACTTTGGAGCGGTGAGTGCATAGAACCCCGCCGCGACGAGGTAGGCCACGGCGAGTCGTTGTAGCACACCCATGATCCGAAGCTCATGTAGCATGTTCGAGCCGTATATCGTATTCAGGGACATTCCCAGCAAGAACATGATCACTGATCGCTGAAAACGCATACGAATTCTAAACCGCTACTAAAAGCAAACTACAAAAATGTTTACATTTCTTTGATATGTTGTGAGATTCAAGTGTCAAAGTGGAAGAAATAAACAAATTATTATTATTACATGGCCAAGCAGCAGTAGGGCACCTTGTGAAAGAGTAGCACACAGAACTACTGTCATGTTACCTATATCTGCCGCCAAGCATTACCGCGTTCCGGTTTTGAATGCTGCTGGTGACGGGCGCCGTGACAGTCCCTCAGATGTTTTCGATTTAAAGTTCTAAGAGGCACTTGGTACAGGTGTAGCAGTAGGCGAACGACTTCTTCGTCCCGTAAGCGCTAAACGCCCAATTGGTTATGACACGAACAAGTCGTACACGCCTGTCCATAACACATAAGTTGGCAAGTCCCATGTGCCTGTAATTTCACCAGCACCCTTACCCTTCTTAACCGGAACGCATTACTACTTGGCGGCAGAAATAGGTAAATTGACTTGTGTACTTCCCTGGACGAACTCTTTAAATTACATGCTTATATTAATACATAAACATGCGATCTGTTAGCAGCATAATGAGTTTTAAAAAAAGATCATGTAGGTCATTGACTTACAATTATATGGACGTCGGGTCCGCGCTAAAAAGTGTCCGCACTTGTAAGGCGCTAAAATCGTATACAGAGCGCCAAACTCCGCTTTAGTCTTCATTTGTTCTACTGACAGCGCGATACTGCGATGACATTACAATTTAAATTTCGAATAGGTTGACTTGGGACATTTTTTTCGTGGTTTTTGTATTAGACCCGTCGTCCATTTATTTGTAAGTCAATGATGTAGGTACACTAGTTATGTACAAACATTTTCAATGTAATTACAACAATATACAAAGAAATTTTTATTACTCAACGCTGCGCGACACAGTCACTAAGTTGCTATTGTTCTGCTACTTCAAAATTCTTCCTACAAATAATAGTCTCTGAATGTAAACCAGGCTAGAGGCTGCGATTGCGGGTCACAGTATCGAATGAGATCGTTATAACGATGTCAATTAAGGTAACAATACCGTATCTATTGCTGCACATGAGTATCAGGTTAACATCGGTCTTAATAACGCAGCAATGAATAGCACCTGGAGAGAATCGTATAGAGTAAAGAACTGCTGTTTATCACGCGAAAACAGAATTTCCAATGAACTATGCCCATTTTAATTAGGCGCACGTATTGATCAAATTTAATAAGTATGTGAAAGATTGTATCAATATGAAATACATACGGAAGTTAGTTATGTAACAAGTGAGAACGTGAACGTGCTGAGAATTAAGAGTTCTTTTGCGATCTTACATAAACGTCATTAATAAAACAGTTGCCATACAGCCGAGATCTAAATTCGATATGTGGAAAGAAATTAACATTTGTGTGAGAAACGGCTATGCCTGCATTATAGTTTATGAATCGCACGTAGAGGTTAGACATCGCGTAACGTTTTACATAATACCGCAGGCTTGTAAAGGTTGAGATACATCCAGGGCAACTGGAGGAACCGGTTGTTGCAAATGCAAATTTATATTATACTTGTAGGTTTATTATAGAATTCGTTTATTGAATTTACCTTCACTGGCATTGCAAAACTTTAGTTGGTTCAACTATACGTATGCTCAGACCAGGTGAAAAACACGATTTAGGAAACAAAGAGAATGCTTAAGACCATAGAAAATGTTACAAAAATATTCTATAAAGTAATGTTTTGTTTTAGTTTTCCAACTTTGTTTTTCAAAACACGTATTAATAAAGGGTTTATTTAACTTATTCTGGTATCATTTTAAGTACTATATTAATATTTTCTATTACTAAATAGCGCTGGTACAGGTACAAAAAATGTGGCACGCTTGGTTTTCATACAGATCGCGGCACTTGTGGTGTCTATTTAGATACATGTCCGTGGCAACAACTTACCCTGAGAATATGTAAGCATATCTTCCACCTCGGGACGCCCTTTGCAAAGGCGCTCTTCACACTGAGAGGGATGCAAACGCCCATGATCCAAAGGAAGGCGGGAAAAACCAGATCGCCAGCTACCAGGCCGTTCCACGTGGCATGCTCCAGCCACCAGTACCCGCCTGCGCCGTCGTTCACAAATATCATGAAGACTATGGCTATCCTATAAGAAAATTGACTTATTATAGTGAGTTTCATTTTATATATTTTTTACATTTGGATGTGGCCTCAGAGGCCTCATCAACAAATAATCTCAGTACAGAGTACTAAAAAAACCGACCTCAAAAGTACGTGGAATTACGTCTATTTGCTAAGTTTTATTGAAATATCCCCTAGTTCGCCACTATACAGTATAGTGGCGAACTAGAGGATATTTACACGTACTTTTGAGGTGAGTAAAATGAAACTAGATGTTTCTAAACTACATTTTACAATTATTATCAAATAAAATTGATCCGTGTAACTATCAAGTTTAAATTTTAAATGCGTATCTCTTGCGTGCGAGTAATAGCTTCAATGTAATGTCCAAGCAGGTTGATATTGCCCTTTTTAACTCCAGTGTTGCATCGGTAAAGGGTCTTATTAGTAATTTGTTTTTTGCCGAGTAGGTAACAGCCGTTGGTCTTCCAATAGGTTAAAATAAAGTAAAATAAACCGGAACGCAGTAATACTGTAATTACTGCTTGGCGGCAGAAATAGGTATGGTGGGAGTATAGTCAAGAGCACGTCAAGCTTGACACTTGGTACTTTGGGCCGTTCTTATCGGAAGCGGCATAGAGTTGGATTTAAATCTTAAATGTCAAGACGTGCTTTTGACCCTGTATTTCTCTGGACGAACTCTTTCACAAGGAGCTCTACTGCTTCTGGTGAAAAAGTCCACTGTGACATTACTTATTAAAAAAAACATGTTACAACTTCTTTAGTCTGTTGAAGTGCGTTGGAGTACATGTACCATATACCTTCAATATGTTTGTATGCCTTATATTTGGCACAGTAAAACTATATTTTCTTTTACTACATGTCAACTTCTACACATCCTATGTTTTCACTTGAACTGGTTGAAGACCATCTCAGTCAGCCGTGACCACGGGACCTATAAAGAACTCGAAAATTTGATATGATCGAATAAACGTAATGTATGTATACTCGGTATAGATAAGAAAAAAAACCGCCCTCAAAAATTCGTGGAATTACATCTTTTTGCCAAGTTTATTGAAATCGGTTACCGGAAAGTGCGCGAAACCGGATTCATCCCCTAGTTTGCCACCCTTAGAGGTGGAATATTTTCTTCAAATTTAAATAGGACCACTACGAGGTACCCTCTTTTCAACAATAAAAAGTCATCATGAACCGATATTGGTTCAGAAATGCCGAATGCGAGTTATCACGTAACATGTATACAAAAAAAAATTACAAGTTTAATTGAGATCCTCCTTTTTTTTTTGAAGTTGCAAAATGTAGTGAAGTTGACATATTTGATTCTTCTTTGCAGGTTTTTAAGTCACAATTAAATTTGAAAACGGAATTGTGTGCTCATCATTATACTCCGTCCAGTCTAACCATTTATTTAGGGATTCGCTCTGGACCTTTTGGAGGGAAAAGTGTCGTTTTTATTTTGACTTTCAATTATTTTGTGAAATCTAGTTTAAAGTTGAATAGGATAGTGATATTGTGCCATAATCGAAGATTAAAACGCGAAATTATACGAATCTCGAACTAAAATACCCGTATCGGCCCGTTTTAAGGAATCCCGAGTCAATCCAAGCACGCCGCCTCAAATTGCCTATCCTCTTTGTGGCGGCCATATTTACAGAAACATAATTAAACGAAGACATGGCTCAAAGGACTTGTATCCAAGCCAAAATTATTAATTAAAAAAAAACCATTTATTTAACTTTTGACAGATCGAATTCTAATCAATTAGTGATGTCCTAATGCGTTTCTGATTCGATTTTTTATAACAATGGATTTTATTTATGAAGAAGTTTTAATCGTGATTGTGAGCGGGTTCCAAAAAGAAGATATTGTCAAATCATGTCGAATCATGGATGTTGCGTTTGACAATTTGTGTACTCAAGAATTAATAATTAATGTTAATGAGGATTCAAGTGATGATTCCTGTTCATAGAGAAGAATCCGATGACTAATTATAATAAACAGTGAGAATTTATCGTAATTATTAATAATTTATTTCATTTCATTATAATAATTATTTGACAGGTACCAAAATTTAACAACTTGAATAATCTTCGTTACATAATCTGTTGGCTCTATAAATATGGGAACTAAAGAGTACGTCGCTTCACTAAAATTAAAAAAGAAAAGAGTCCAGAAAGTAATTACGGAATTTCGGAGGCATGCATATTTCAAAAGTTAAATAAATAGTTGGACGGAGTGTAGTTGTTTAATCTTTCTTTGTTTTGTTTAACTTTGTTATAATTTTTTCATTATAGTTTAGTAAAAAAACTTATTTTTAATTGAGCATTGCTTGTCTTTGGTTATACCTTATACTTATTCACCTTTATGTACTTACAGGGAACTTTAGGCTTAGTAATAAGTTAAATGTTCTTTTTTTTTAATTTTATAATTGTAAATAAGAGATTCGCTCTGGACCTTTTGGAGGGAAAAGTGTCGTTTTTATTTTGACTTTCAATTATTTTGTGAAATCTAGTTTAAAGTGGAATAGGATAGTGCTATTGTGCCTTAATCGAAGAAAAACGCGAAACTATACGAATCTCGAACTAAAATACCCATATCGGCCCGTTCTAAGGAATCCCGAGTCAATCCAAACACGCCGCCTCAAATTGCCTATCCTCTTTGTGGCGGCCATATTTACAGAAACATAATTAAACTTCATGTTTAGGCTGATGGCTTTGCCAAAGCCTTAATAAATTAAAAAAGAAATTGTAAATAAGTCAATGATTGTAAAAGACTGTTTATTCCTCAATAAAAAGAAAAAAGGCGGTTTAAAAATAGTTTCCTCTCTACCGTGTAGCAATCGTGAAAAACCTAAGAGTTCGATGTAACAATTCTTATTGAAACATATCGTGTATCAAGGATTTATGAATGTCGGTCAACCGCTAACACCTTATATTAAAAACCGCTTTTATATGTAAGATAATTTGTAAGTGTATATCAGATTATACCCTATGCATTTCATAGTGTTTTTTAAATGAGACAGTATGGGGAAATCCGAAACCGGAGAAGATACAAGGAGGTCCTTGGAACCGTTTAGTCTGTTTTTGTGGAAACAATTTGGGTATGGTCAATTTTTTGGTCAAGCGTGAGTTGTTTGTCATATTCATAGAAATTAATAAAACTGATAATTTTTTTTAGTGCTAATCTACTCAATTTCATAAAGGGGTACATTTCATTGTATGAGATGAAAAAAATCGGGACAGCCGAAGTTGGTCAAATTTCATAAAATATTTTTCATACAAAATTAATAAAATTGTCTATTTTTTGCTGATAGACTCAGCCTCTTCTAATAATGATTTTATTGCATTGGAAGGCAATAAACGGGAGCTATCCCAGAAGCAGAAGTTGGTAAAATTTAACAAAATGTTATTCATTTTGTATGAAAAAACTTTCTATTAAATTTGACCAACTTCTGCTTTCCCGATTTTTTCTTCCATACAAATAAAAACATACTTATAAGAAACCGAATCTATTATTTTAAAAAAATAGGCAATTTTATTCTTTTTGTACGCAAACTATTTCAAATCACGCAAATTATTTTATTATTTACCTACTTCGGAGGTACCGATTTTTTTGTCCCGTACAATGAAATGATCCCTTCATGAAACTGAGTCGATGGGCAGTAAAAATACTGCTCAATTTTATAAATTTTTATGGACAACTCACGCTGGACCAAGAAATTTACAGTGCCAAAATTGTTTTCACAAGAAAAACAATTTTGCTTTGGGTAATGCCGCCGATATCAATAGAATCTTTGTCCTGCAGAAACGTGCGGTTAGGGCAATTTACAATCTGGGCCCCAGAGTATCTTTGAGATACACAGGTAGGTCAAAGTACATCCACGAAAATGTAATTTATGTTAAGAGGAATAGTAATCTCTTTATGCAAAATTGTGACAGACATAACATTAATACGAGGAATAAAAATAAACTAGCTGTTCTTGGTAGTCATCTTCACAAAGTGACAAATTCATTTAAGGGGCAATGTTGGTTGGTAAGGTTGATATACAAAATTTGCCATTTACGAGGTTTAAAACTATAGTGAAACAAAAACTTTATACTAAAGGTTTTATATTTATATTATACAACTTCTGCGTACTTGGATGACAAAAATCCGTGGTAGTAACCCGTTTAGCTCATGGAGGTAGCCTCGATCTCTGATGTTTGGAAGCAAGACAAAAAATATATTGTAAATGTTGAATGCGTACAAATGTTATTTACAAAGAGCAACCCCTAGTGTTTCTTGCTCTTTCTTAGGGGAATCTGCCTTACGAATGAGCGGTAGAGTTTAACCAATGTGACGATTTCAAGTGTACTAATGCTTACCTATGGAATAAAAAAATATAAAATAAAACAAAAAAAATTATTTTGATTTTGATTTTTAATAGTTCCTAAGACAGCTTCTGCTTCTCCTATGATTTCGGATTGCCTCATACTGTCCCGGTTAAAAAAAACAATGCATATAAGCTCATCTACACAAGCACCCGTGAAGATACAGGAAAGATAGAGTCCAGTAAAAGATGCAAATATAACTGTTACGAAATTTAAGACAACAAATGTTTTGAAACATGAATATGTATATTTAATACAAAAGGTAACAAGCAACCGTAGTTTGCAACAGTTGGTATCTCATTTCCGGTCAACAGGTGCGTTACACCGATGTTCATCGACGGTTTCCCCATTTGCCCATAAACTCGGTGGCTTGGAAAACAAGCCGTGATGCTATTAGTTTCACCTATTATTCCATTAAATGCACAGCAATGACAACGTTAGCCGACTGCAAAAATAACTATGTCAAACAACTGTGAGCTGTACTTGACGTATTCAAGTCTGTAATTATCAAGTTCATTGATGATTTTCTTATTTCCCAACGTATATTTAAAAACGCGGTGGCACGAAATGACGTATTTTTATACGGAATACTAAATTTAGAAAACATATATGAACTGCAAATGTAAGTTTGCTGAACAACTAGGGTATCGCGCACTTTCCGGTAACCGATTTGAATAAAACTTGGCAATTTTATTAACTAATAATAATTTTATTATATACACGTACTGTTGAGATCGCTTTTTTTTTATGAAAAAAAATTATAACTTTAGTCACTTCGATATTGTAAGCAAAGGTACATAAAATTGAAAAATAACAATTTAAAATATTCTCAGAAAAAGATTGGCAGATTTTTGTAGCTACTTGTTATATACGAATATTTTTTTTAGTTTAAATATATTACGTTATGAGTAAGTTAATTATTTATTTTTTACCTTCTTAAGTTGAATGAAATAATAAAGTTAAAAAAACGAACATTTCCGGGCTTGTTTGAAATAAATTCCATATCTACAAGTTAAATTTTCAAAGCGTGTAACATAAGGACTCGACCATGTTTCAGTTTGGGATTGTAGGTAGAGTTCTTTTAGTATTAATAATAGAGGTGATATGAACTCACCTCTATTATTAATGAACTAAAGAGATCAAATGACGCAAGTCAGAAAGTATTTTTTTGTAAAGCCGACTTCATTTCTTACAATTGCACAATGTGTAAACAAAGAAGCCGTGATTGTAATTTTTTTCTTCAGACTTTAAAGTAAAACGTCAAATGACAAATGACAGAAGATTACTTTTTAAAAGGCATTTATTTAATGTGGTTTCGCTATGGACCTTTTGGAGGGAAAAGTGTCGTTTTTATTTTGACTTTCAATTATTTTGTGAAATCTAGTTTAAAGTGGAATAGAATAGTGCTATTGTGCCTTAATCGAAGATTAAAACGCGAAATTATACGAATCTCGAACTAAAATACCCGTATCGGCCCTTTCTAAGAAATCCCGGTTCAATCCAAGCACGCCGCCTCAAATTGCCTATCCTCTTTGTGGCGGCCATATTTACAGAAACATAATTAAACTTCATGTTTAGGCTGATGGCTTTGCCAAAAACTTAATAAATAAAAAATATTTAATGTTTGGAAACTCTGCCACATTCAAGTTGTATTTTTTTAAAACAGATTGTGTAAAGATAGAAATTTTACTTTTAATATGTACTAAATAATACGAGTAAAAAATAACGTAATAATTATATAAACGTAGCAAAGATATTCGAGAATTTTATTTTTACACTATTTTTTAAACCAATTTGCTTATAAATAGTCTTAATGAAATGGCGCCTGAATCATTGTCAGCGTAATGCTAAAAAAAACGTGAAAGTAAAAAAAATAGTCGCAATTGGCGCGATTATCATCTTCTAAATTTGAAAACGTCCTCTCTCCGTTGTTGAACTAAATCCCTTTTTTACTCTTCAATATCGAGCAATTAAAGCTTAAAATGTAATTTCTTGACCCTTTTTTAGTTATAAAGAAAAGATATAATCATAGATTGTCATAGGTTTCTAGTAATTCTGTTTTTGTGCCTGCTCAAAACATTCATATTACTGAAGTAGGAGGTTTACGAATTTAGACGATATGCAGCTGGTACTCAGGTACCACGTATGTACGTTAATTCTTTTTAAAATATTTGATTTCACTGAGATTAATTAGTCATCAAATAGTAATGTCTATTATTGACACAAATCACCATTTCTGAACTCAGTTTAGGTGTGTTTGGAAAGAATATGCAATTTTAAATCCAGATAAAATAAGTTTCATACCCAATGTGTAAAAAATCGCGAAATAGATAAATTCATCCTTGGAGATTTTAGGCTAAGGCATCTAATTAGCCATATTGCCAGACATTAGATTTTTATTTTTCTTCAATAATTTAATATTCTAAAACTTTTAAGAGAATTGTTTTGTTATGTCGTTGTTAATTAATTGTGTTGTTGTTGAATATTATAGCATACAAAGTCAATTTAAGAAAAAAAGACGCCATTTTGATAGTTGAAAGGTCGCAAAAACCGAAAAACTCGCTAATTATTAATTCGCCGAATAACTTTACAAATATTTATGACGCATAAATCCACACTCTATTGTCTTTACACCAACATCTATTGCGTCATCTGAAACGTATCCGTTTGTACAATAAACATCGACGGGTCAGGTAACCTTTGGATAGTTGAACCAAGAAATCTGTAAGGTCTTAATTATGCAACTTAAGATGAATATGGCGTACAAACAGGTTAACAAGTGGCACGGTTAAAATTTGAGAATTATACCAAGAACGTTTGCGTGCCAAGGAAATAAGGTGGCAATTCAGCCTGTCACTTCTTTATCGTAAAATTTTTTTAAAATATTGTAAAATTATAAGATACGAGTAGTATAAGAAATATTCATTTAAATAAATAAAAAATTTAGACAATTACAAAATGTGGTTTTGTAAACCACATAAATAAAAATATTCATTTGTCAAGTTATGCAATTGACTGAGTTTCGATGTAGCGTACTTTCGATGTAACATACTTTCAGTCTAGCGTACCATCAATATAACGTACGTCCCATCGATTTGGCATACCGTCGATTAACGCCCAGATGATGTAACATTTTCGATGTCACGATCATTCATACTGCAATTTTCGGTATTGTGAATCCAGGCCCCTTAAATAGATACCAGCGCTAAAATAATTTTCTTCACTATACTCCAATGCTTGTCAAGTTTAAATTGTCTTACCCTCTAAAGGTATCCAGCGCGCGAAGCCTTTGTTGTATAGCCAGCTCCTTGTCACCGTAGCGCAATTTGCCGGTCCGCCTTACTCTGGACATAATCAACTTCCCGATGCCATACAGCACCCATGCTGTGGCAAGAATTCCCAGCAGTAGGAGCAGAGCTGATAACAAAAAAATTAGCTGAAAACAAGAGCTGAATATTTAGTAGCTCTACCTCACGCTAACGGAGAAAGAAAACATTGTGATTACACCTGTACGTTGCAGAAGGTTCACCAGTCTTCGAAGAAAGGTTGGTGGCAATAATGATGGTCCGATATTGCCATCAAACTTTTCCCGTACTAATACGGTTCATTTTGCTCGGACCGAGTGGCAGGGACACTGGCTTTATATCAGAATTAATTCTGTTGCAAACGTAATAAAAGCTATTTGAAAAATGTATAGGTACAGTGTTCTATTTAGTTCAGTTGATGTTAAAAAAAAATCATTGGTATATGTAAAGTATCCATTAAATACATTGAGTTACAATTATAGGGACGTCGGGTCCGCGCTAAAAAGTGTCCGAACTTATAGGCCGTTAAAATCGTATACAGAGCGTCATTCACGCTGTAGTCTTCGTTTGTTTGACTGACAGCGAAGCAAGCAAAATTAGACAGTACTGCGATGACATTACAATTTAAAAGCTTTTTCATATTCCTTTACATGTCACTACGTTTAAATAGGTTGACTTGGGACATTTTTTTCGTGGTTTTTGCATTAGACCCTTCGTCCATTTATTTGTAAGTCAATGATTGAGTACAACGGTTTTCTTGTAAAATTTCGACATAAGTTTGTGTTTTTTTTTTCTACCGTGAAAATTTTTAGAAATCGTGTTTTGACTTCGTATACTAATCAGTGTATATCTTCAATTTTACTATATTTTTTCCAAAGAGTTTGATTCAACACTTTCACTGTTATGCTGAATCAACCAAAGCCATTTGAGGTTATATGGACTTTTAACGAATCCGCACAATAATCGGAAATTCATACCCTTGGTTTGATAAAGCGACATGTGATCATACGTCATAAGTCTT